AGATTTCCGTTTACCTCCATTCAAACGATAAGGTGCATATTTTAGGCAGGAGGCAATAAATGACCTAGTTTCTTTGTCTGTTGCTTTAGGCTCACAGCGCCTAATCGATTCTAAAAAATAAATGCAAAAATATCAAATTTGGTCAAGTGAATAAAACTGTAGATAAAGGAAGAAAGAATGTCTTCAATTTACACTATTTAATACGAGTACATGAAGTTTACAACTTTAATGTAAACTGATTTAATTTTATTTTTCAATTTGTTCAAGGAAGATTTTTATATCTACTTTTTGTGAATTCAACTAAATTCATTTATTTTCAACAGGCAGCCTTTAAAAAGAAATATAAATATATAAAAATATAGAGATCAACATTATAGCTACCAATTATTGCTTTGTAAACATTTAACTTTTCCATAGGTAACTTCACAGTAACCTTTCCCTTGGAACCAACCAAATTGAACTTCGATTGAAGTCTGTTTGTCATCAACCTTAAACATGTCAAAAGAGAAACTCAACATTATTTTTCTATAATTAAAAATCGCTTTTAAAAACTAATTTTCTTTGCAAAAATAGTAAGTACTATTTATTTAAAAAATGTTTCAACCTGTTTATCATGTTTGCAACACTTTTTTTACCATTGTTACCGCCAATGGAAGATAGCTGATTAACCTGATATAAAAATAAAACAATATCTATAGGAGCAATGTGGCAATATTGCATAATAGAGCATCTAGATCTTCAATGGAATTTTTAGATAACATCCTAGCAGATAAAAGGTCAGGTTATCCTGCTACTAGTAAGTGACCGGGGCCATGGCCCAAAACAGAGCTTTTTACAAATCCGGCACCGGCCCCGGGTTACTAGCTGGGGTTAGATTTTTTTTATAGTATTGTAATCTTTTTCACTGTTTTTGTATATTTTGTTTAAGCTAATATCTGTTATGAAAGTTAAAGAAAATATTTAAAAAAAGTCATAAATACATTTAATAAATATTTAGATATTTATTTAATGTATTTATGACTTTTTTTAAATATTTTCAGGGCTCAGAGCCTCTTATCATCATCAGCATCATTTATGTGGATCTCCTGAAAATCTTGACTTCAGGGCGGTTTGCCAATGAGGAGGGGTGTTTTTTAAAAATACCCACAAATTTACCTATAATGGTCAATTTCAGTATAATAGTCAATTTAGTGTAAAATATTTTAAATTTGTATTATTTTGTCGTAAGTATAATATTTAAATATTATACTTACGACAAAATAAATAGATTCACATAAATGATGGTGATGATGATAAGGATAATGATGACAATGATGATGATGGTGATGATCATAATGATGATGATGATGCTAACGATCATGATGGTGATGATGCTAATGATCATGATAATCATGATGGTCGGGAGTTGATGATATACACATTTATAAAAAATATACTTATATAAATGAAAAATAACTTACAAACTTTTTAAAAACCCTTTTGTCAGCTCCAAGTTTTCGATCGAACTCATATAAAGCATCTATATCATCAAATTGTATTATTATCTCTCCTTCAACATCTTTCATTCTGGTGCCACTAACTGCATCTAACTTTTTGGATATTTCACTCATTTGCAAGGTTATTTGGGCCAACCTCCGTAATACTATATGTTAAAATCCTGAGTTTGAAAACAAAAAGTACTTTATAAATATAATATATATATATATATATATATATATATATTATATATATATATATATATATATATATATATATATATATATATATATATATATATATATATATATATATATATATATATATATGAGAGCTGAGCTGCAAGGGGACAGGAATTTCTTCCATCCCCACCTATCTCGCAAACATTTATTGGCCTTTTCCATGACAATAAATGATATACTTGAATGAATATGTTGCATACAAAACAACAGCAAGTTGAAAGACAGCTGTAAATCACAAATGATATAGTAAAGAAACCTACCATTATCTTCGAGATTTTTTGAGCTAATTAACTCGTCCCGAGCACAAGCAGAATCTCTTCTATTGTAATTAACATAAGATTGAGAAATAACAGCAGGTGAATTGGTGGAAATATTTGTGAATGAGCTTTCTAACATACTAGTAGTAGTCTGACTGTTTAATGTTGGTTTGCGTATAGAAAAATCATCACATGTAGAAGAGGTAGTAGTTGAAAGAAATGGCTTTGGTATGTGAGCTGTTGATAAAGCAGTAAGTCCAGAATAACCACCATGTATAGAAGAGGTTTGAGTATAACCTTTAGAAACCAATTTAACATTAAAATAGTTTGACATAACACTTATTATAGTGAAAACCATTAATATGTTATTTTGAAAATCTAAAAAGAATTTAAATAATTTAAAATAAATATGTCACTAAGGCAAAAGGTACCAGATGAAATTTTTTGACTTGAATTGTTCCTTTTTGCTTTTTGTGGAACATCTGTATCCAGCGTAACAGTTCCTATGAAAGAAATTATATTATTATACAAGAATATTATTATTATACAAGAAAACAATAGTGTTATAAATATAATCATTTTTGAGTATTATATATCATTTTTACTTATTGGCATTTTCGGAGGAACTGGCTTTGGAATATACTTAATAATTGCATGTCTTTTTTCAGATAAGCTGGGACAACTCTTAACCATCATTTCATTGTTATCCAGTTCTCCAGCTGTCACATTATCTCCATACTCTTCACATACTTCTTTGTCATCATCTAGGATGGAATCAATTAATGTTTACATTGAAAGTCTTATTATAAGGAAAAAACATAATGATGACTGTTATTTATTTAGTAAATTTAATGAGCACTCATTAAATATATAAAAAGACCTATAAATAATTTAAAATTATATCTTTAAAGAATTTATTTTAGAAAGAGACATCAATGAAGTGCTTTAAGAGTATAGTGGGCATTCGTTTAGTCATGCGATTAGTAACTCAATCATTTGATGGAGTTACTAATTTAAGTGATCATCGAAAACAGTGCAAATAAATTAGTCGAATTGAAAGAACCCATAAAAAATAATAATTTTGTGTAAATATTTTTTATAAATAAAAATAAAATATTTTTTATAAACATTTTTATATATTACATCATTTAATATTAATAAATCTTCAATTACCAGTTAGCTTGATGTATTTCAGTTTGAATTGATACCAATCATCAGTTGGATTGGACATTTTTTTCATTGATGACTCAACATTTTTATTAGGCCAAAATACTTTTTTACACTTTACCCAGTTTGATGGAAGAGTCTGTTCATATTCCTCTAATGAGCCATCTTTTGCATATTCAAACCATACTGCTCTGGTCCAAGACATTTTGTTTGTGAAATTGACAATTATAGTAAACCTGTTTATCTAACTCAAAAGAAAAAAATTAATCTATTAATAGTTTAATATAATAGTGAAATTATTAAAATAAATGTGAAAGAAATTAATTATTATATGTTTTAAATGTATATATATATATATATATATATATATATATATATATATATATATATATATATATATATATATATATATATATATATATATATATATGTATATATTACAAAATAATAACAGTAAAAACAGAAATTAAAACAAAATTATGTAGCTGTAAATTCTACCTTTTTTTGAAATGGCTTCTAATGACTGTATAAATAAAAATATTCTTTTTATACCAGTTGAAAATAAGGAAATCAGACATATTGATAACGCTAAAATACTAATAGTTAAACTTTTTCTCAGACTAATTGCTTAATTATATAAATGCTCTGTTTATACTAGCTAAAAATTAGCAAAGCAGACATCCTCAATTATTAAATTGCTGCAATAAAACAAATAGTGATAAATATTTTTACTATTATCAAATAATGCAATTTAATTATTATCATCATTTTTTTGTACATATAATTATTGTTAGTTCATTTTTGTTTTTCATTAAAAAAAAAGCGAATATAATGATACCTATTAATAGTTTAATATAATAGTGAAATTATTAAAATAAATGTGAAAGAAATTATTATATGTTTTAAATGTATATATATATATATATATATATATATATATATTATATATATATATATATATATATATATATATATATATATATATATTTAAAAAAACAAAATACTAAAATCTTACTTAAAAACAATGATAAAAAATAAATAAGTATAAACATTATTATAATATCTATATTTGTTCATTAATTGGTTTTTTAATTTTAATAGAAAAAATATTATTTGTAATTGAAGACTATAGTGCTCAAAGTACTTAAGTCACACAAAAAAAAATTAAGAGAAAACATATTTCAATCATTTTATTTATATAGCCTTTTTGTTGTAAAAACTTAAAGTAAATGCATTAAGTAATAATTTATTTTTTCTTTACTTAATTATTATATTTCTTGATTTTTATTTAGTTACTTTGTTTATAAATTTAAATTTTAAAAACAAAAAGATTTTACAAATAAACGATTAAAATATATTTTCTGACAACATTTTCTTTGTGAATTAATACTTTAAGCACTTAGGTCTTCAATTATTATTGGGATTTTTATCTAAGTATTTATAACTTTTTTTTATACAAAACAACTCTTTTATTTAACGATAAATAATTCAAAAATTTACATTGTGGTGTAACGGCACCAACACATACCCATCATTGTATGGAATACAACATACTTTTTTAATAATTAGATCTTTTTTTATAAATTGTTTCTTGAATTGTACAATTTTATGAAGGAAATATATATGCAACAACTTAGAACAACACGGATCATCAAAAAACCCATCCAAATCAGATATTTGATAGACATAGCATTCCATATCATTACCAATGACATTATTTACACACACTACTTTTTCTCCACGAATGAAAAACCATCTATTTTTATTTCCAATTGAAATCTTAGTTTTTGATTGTTGTTTGCTTCTTGTTACACAACATTTCTCTATCTCCTCTATTCTTTTTTGTCAATTGTGACAAGGGACTTTGTGCGCACATAAGATTTTAGAATGCCTAGATAGTTTTCAAAAAGAAAAGCAGATATATCTTGTAAACTGCAGCTGTGGTTGACCACATCTTCATACAGATGTGTCAAACTATGAACATTATAAGTAACGAACTCTTGTCCATAAAGAAATGATGACCGATATACAAACCATTCCAAGAGCCCTTTTGCATACATTAACAACTTATGATCATTCAAAAGATCATTATCAATCATTATACTCATAGCAACTGATAAGCTTAAGAAATGTGTATATATTTCTTGAGAAACTACATTTTTTAAAACAATCATACCGGTATATAAAAGAAAATTTTTGAACTCTGTAGCTTTCCAGCGTTTAAACTCATCAATACCTCTTGGTTGTCTTGCAAACTCGCTGGGCAATTTTCCTGATAATTCTCTAAGTTTTTCAGAAATAACTGCTTTTTGAATCTCTGATATCCTGCATGATCTTTTACCTTCGTTGGAAAAAATTATTATTCTTTTAGTTACTCCTAAATAAACCAAATGCATGATATCTAAAACAAATGATGTAACACATGGTATATTATATTTAGCTAGAGTACATAAAGTTTTTTGGTGTTCTTTGTAACCGTGTAGGTTAAATTCTGTATCATTTCTCAGAGTATATCCTGACCCCAAAAAAATTTGTCTGTGATTAATACGTGCACCGTGAATAATACATCGCTCACACGAATCGTATCCATTATGGCTAATTATAGACTTCAAAAATTGTCGAGCTGGAGCATCACAACAAAATGATTTAAGGGAAACTAAGTAATGTTTATATTGAGTTTTGATTCCATTTTGTAATAAATTTGTTAACTCAGTTACAAAATCAAACATAAAGCTTTCTTCAGATGAAGGTTTGCTCTTACTACAGAAAATAGCTACAGCAAATGGTTGGATACTTGAAAATGAGCAAAGTATGGGCCATAAAGCTAGTGACGTGCTTTTAAATAATGGTATTCCATCAACATTAACAACTAATTCAATTTTCGCAAGATTTGGAAATTTGCTTAAATGTTTTAAAATATTAGTTTCCAAACCATAATAAATGTAATCGCCACCACACTTATTCTTCAGAAGAATGTTACTTGGAGTTTTCAATAATGTTCTTACATCTTTTGGAAGCTCTGTGTGGCCATTTTTCCTCAAAATAAAAAGAAGTTAATTTGTTGCAGAACGTGAAGTTTGGTTTACAACAACCCATTCTGCTAATTCTTCACGTAGATTTCCATTTATTATTTTGTCATCTATAAAGTTTCCATGATTCAAGAAACAAGAATTAGAATCAGAACTATCGGAGACTCCGGCGGAGTCAAGATTGGAATTTGAGTCAAAATCTGTTTCTTCAACACCTTCAACTTCTTGCTCAATCGATTCTTCAGAAAGAACTCTATAATCTGAAACATTTATTTGTTGTTTATCTGTTTCTATTGTACTATCTGTCTCAGTAAATAAATCAATTACTGATTTATTAATTTTTCTCCATTGTGTAATCCGTGATGACATAGCAACTAAATACTTTTATTCCTAAAAATAAATAATTAAATATATTTATATTAGGGTGTTAGCCAGGAATATATTTCATACAGATTTTTTGAAATTGTCATATATATATATATATATATATATATATATATATATATATATATATATATATATATATATATATATATATATATATATATATATATATATATATATATATATATATATATATATATATATATTAATATATAATATATTATACTTTAATTACAAAAATACATTTTGTAATTAAAGTATTATATAATTATAAGTATATAATATATTATATATATATATATATATATATATATATATATATATATATATATATATATATATATTTACATATATTTATATATATATATATATATATATATATATATATATATATATATATATATATATATATATATATATATATATATATATATATATATATATATATATATATACATGTGTGTGTATACATGTGTATATTATATACCTTACATTATATACATGTATATATTATATATGTATTTGTTAGGAAACTTTGTTTTACACATTTACACATTTACAAAAATACATTTTGAATTACTTTTTTAACTAAAGCTAAAATTGCTAGAAAAAAAATTATAATTTACTACTCTGAGAACTAGTTCTCAGAGACTCTGAGAACTAGTTCTCAGAGTCTCTGAGAACTAGTTTAATTTACTACTCTGAGAACTAGTTCTCAGAGACTCTGAGAACTAGTTCTCAGAGACTCTGAGAACTAGTTCTCAGAGTAGTAAATTAAAATTTTTTTTCTAGCAATTTTAGCTTTAGTTAAAAAAGTAATTCAAAATGTATTTTTGTAAATGTGTAAATGTGTAAAACAAAGTTTCCTGGCAGGAAGTAGTGATGCTTCAATGCCATTTTAATATTATTAGTAATGATTATTAAAAAGAATTCACTTTTTGTTAGGAAACATTATTTTACACATTTACACAACTTTAATTACAAAAATACATTTTGAATTACTTTTTTAACTAAAGCTAAAATTGCTAGTAAAAACATTATAATTTACCACTTTGACAGAGTAGTAAATTATAATGTTTTTACTAGCAATTTTAGCTTTAGTTAAAAAAGTAATTCAAAATGTATTTTTGTAATTAAAGTTGTGTAAATGTGTAAAATAATGTTTCCTAACAAAAAGTGAATTCTTTTTAATAATCATTACTAATAATATTAAAATGGCATTGAAGCATCACTACTTCCTGCCAGCAGAATAAAAAATGAAATTTATAAACCAAAAAAACTTGAATTACTTATAATCCATAAATTAAAATATATTTTAGATTACTTGTAAATAGCTATTTACAAAAGTCAAATAAAAAAATAACTCTTTTGTATGAATAATTTGTAAATATTTTACACTTTTTAATAAAGTACAATAAAAAATAGCACGTTTCTCCGAGCGATTAGCCATCTTTATTTCAAATAAGAAGTTCGCGATATCAAACAGAAAGTAAAAAGACATGTTGATTATATCAACGTTAGTTTATTACCAATACATCAACGTAGAATAAGCGTTGATAATGCCGACGTTGAAATTTCCTCTTTGTTCAGACGTTGAAACAACGCCATTTTCTTTAACGTTAGTTTATCAACTATAAATCAACGTGGAATAGACGTTGAAATTTCCGACGTTGACATTTCAACAATGCGCAGACGTTGATAAGACGTCGTTTGCTTGCTGGGTAACAATCATAATGAAATCTAAAGTGGCTCTATTTGTTGATGACTCCACTTTATACTCTTGTCTTGACAATAAATCTTCACTTTTTAATTGCTTAGAACAAGCAGCAAAGTTGAAATCTGATCTCTCTTCTGTAATAACCTAAGGCTTGCTGTGTCTTATGGATTTAAATTCTGGACTTAAAATCCACAATTTTTGTTAGACAACAAAATTCATTTATTTACTACAAAAAAATATTGCAATATTGTTGGTATTCCTATAAAAATAAAAACCCTATAATTATTATAATATATTTTATATTAATAACAATAATATATATATATATATATATATATATATATATATATATATATATATATATATATATATATATACATATATATATATATATATATATATATATATATATATATATATATATATATATATATATATATATATATATATATATATATATATACATTAAATTTATGGTTATTCGAACTGGCACTTATTTATATATATGTATGTATATATATATATATATATATATATATATATATATATATATATATATATATATATATATATATATATCAGGCGCGGATGCAGCATTTTTTGATGTTTGAGATACCTAACTTCCAGACATGGAGCAAACTCCAAAAATTTATATGTTTATATTTATATCAAATAAGGACGCTTTGCAAAAAATTGCAATGATTGGAGCCTGGGAACAAAAAATCCCTAAAATTTTAGCTACACCTGCCCCAAACGTGAGAGCAACAAATTGATAAAATAATTTTTATACTATTCTTAACTAAATCTATATTCATCGACAAATTTTAAAATTAACACAAAAATCTTTTAGCGTTCAAAAACTATGACCATAAAAGGTTTGAACCCCCCTCAATTTGAGGGGGTTGCAAACTTTATAAGGCCATAGTTGTTGAACGCTAAGAGATTATTGGGTGAGTTTTAAAATTTGTCGATGAATATATACTTGGTTGAGAATAGTAAAAAAAATATTTTATCAACTTGTTGCTCTCACGTTTGGGGCAGGTGTAGCTAAAATTTTAGGGCTTTTTTATTCCCAGGCTCCAATCATTGCAATTTTTTGCAATGCGTCTTTATTTGATATAACTATAAACATATAAATTTATGGAGTTTGCTCCGTGTTTGGAAGTTAGGTATCTCAAATATCAAAAGATGCTGCATCCGCGCCTGTATATATATAATATATATATATATATATATATATATATATATATATATATATATATATATATATATATATATATATATATATATATATATATATATATATATATATATATATATATATATATATATATATATGTATATATATATATATATATATATATATATATATATCAGGCCTTGCGATGAATATAAACTGCGCGACGCATAAGCACGGCCTGATTTTTGACGTCATTAAATTCTTTTTATTTGCTTTTCATATTTATCGACATTAACCAATTTACTTAATTACCGCAAAACTACTTTAAATCGTTTATTTAGAAAAGTTATTATTTAAAAATGTTTTGGAATATTTCGTTTTTTAAAATGTAAAAACATTTGTTTATTTTCTCG